GGCCTCTCTCATCTTTTTAAGTGGGAGAACTTGCACAATTGGTGGCTAACTAAATACTTTTTTGCCCCACTGTAGCTGACCTTGGTTCATCTCCAAAAGCTAAACAGAATCAGATGTGATCAGTTAGACAGGACAGACACACATAGAGGAAATCCCACTGCTGTGGACTAGCCCAAGTAGTTAAAAAAAACATTCTGAAAGTGCCGAACTGTTTCTGTAGCTATGCCAATAAAACTACACGGGTATTTCCTTTAAGTCACTGAAAGTCTAGGTTGACTCAAAGACTCAGTTGGAGTCAAGCAGCATCCAAATCGATAAATTAAAAAAAGAATCTTAACAGTCCTCTTCAGCCTGCATCCCAAAACTCAGGATTAACGTTCTTCAGTCAGATGGCAGCTTTTGCTTATGAATAAGCAGGAGAAAATGTCCAAAACATTACAAATTGGTAAATATAATGGGGAGAAGGAAGAAGTGAAACAGAAAAGCGAAAAACACTGAATTTTTAATAGATTAAATAAAATGAGTTTAATGCAACCATAAAAAATACGCAGGTGCTTAGTACTGAAGACAGTGGTTCTGTGGAAAAACCACCGTCCCCTAAAATTAACTGGTTTGCAAAAAACTGGAAAATTATAGAATAAATTACATTTTCTAGCTAGCAGTACAAGGGGGAAGGTGACACAAGGGTCTGGAGCTTTAAGGAAAGCAGATTCCTGAGGAGATGAAAGCACAACGAAAACAAAGTCAAAGAACTCAAACAAAAACAAAACCAGTTCAGTACAAAGAGCGGATTCAGGGGTCATTACTCCAGACCCTGGCAAAATTCAGTAACTTTTAGCAGGTGGCAAGTCTCAAAGGAGCTGCAGACATGAAGGGCAGGCACATCAGCCATGTGGCATCTGAGAGGTAAATGTGACCCATTGGCAAAGTTAGGGGAACTTTGGAATTTGGAATCCCCTGGAATTGGAGTTGAGTGTCTAACACAAGTATCCAGGAGCGTCTGTAGCGTATGGTCAAAAAAGTCAAGATGGTGGCTGCAGCAGTCAGTTTCTGGCCTCTAGAGAGAACACACAAAGGGTGCTTTGAGTCTGTCCAAGAGCGGATACGCGCTGGAGCCCCTGTGCGGGAATTCCTTGGAATTGGATGTGTTAATAGAACAGCAATTAACTGGATGAACAGCTGGGGAAAACGGCTTCGTTTTGCTGCAGGAAAGTACCCATTTCTTTTAGCAATGGACTGCTTGCGTGAGCTACATAATGGACGGATAATTTGATCGCTCTGACTAAACAGCCTTTTTTCAGGTAACTATAGTCTAGCTCATACCCAGGGCTATGCAGCGTGTTTTGTATTTGTTTTCAGCAGACCGTGATCCACAAACCCATTCTAAGAGCGAGGCCGTTACTTCTGGGAAGAAACCACAACCGAAACTCGTAATTACTGGTTTACTAAGCCTGATTTCTTTTAACAAAGGCTTCTGTGCAAACAGAGAATCCTGGGTTAGTTCTGGGTTTTCGAACAGCGCCTGTTCTTTTGGGATCGCGGCAAAAAGGTTTGGGGAAACAAGTCAGGAACTGATCCAACGAGCCATAATTACGTTGCTAAGTTGGCAAGACTTGGCCTTGTTCAGCAAGGCAAATTCTGGTTTAGCAGCATGGAAGAAGGTAGCCGCTGGGGTGGTTCATCCCGGAGACACTGTGCAGACAAACTGCTGTTTGCAGCCCCCTTCCCCCCCCCAACCACCCTTTATGCCAGCCCACAGTGGGGGCTGGCCAGGTAATGCATTAGAAAAACACCAGGGACCCAGAGGTCCAATCAGAGTTGGAGGAGTGGGGAAAAGGGTAGTCCCTCCACCTTATAGTGTAAAGAGATCTCCCTCCTGCACACCTGGGAGTGGGTGTGCAGCTGAGCCCGAAAGGGAAAACATGCAGCACGAATAATCCAGGTTTCTGATCCCGAACTCAGAGGCTGGAAAGTGGAGTTAACCATTCTTAAACTTTCCTGCACAGGTTGGGAGAGCTGGTGAAGGTAAGTGAGATTCCAAAAGCCACAGCCCTTGACCATGTGGGGCTTTGGCTAGGCTGATACCACATGCTAAGCCAATAATGTTTTATATGAGAAGCACCCTATATTGTAGAGGGAGATGGGATGTATTACAACAGCGTTTCTCAACCTTGGCAACTTGAAGATGTGTGGACTTCAACTCCCAGAATTCCCCAGCCAGCCATGCTGGCTGGGG